CTGTTGCTGCGGTTGCAGCCTTGACGGTTCTTACTGCTACTTTTGCTGCTCCACTCGCTGCTGCTGCAACTGCTGCTGCGGCTGCTGCTGAGTCTGTGTACATGCGCCTCAGGTGGGCCCTTTTCATGTAGGTTTGCTTCTGCGCTGCCGCCTGTTGCTGCTCTTCCCGCTGCACAGTCCCGTGGTGCTCTCGCTGCTGCTGCTGCTGCTGCTGCTGTTGTTCCTGTTGTTGCTGTTGCTGCTGCTGACAGTGGTTGCCGCTGCTGCTCTTGCTGCAGCGGGTGGTGGCCGTGCGCTTCCTGAGACACGCAGATTGCCTCGATGCTTCTCTCCCACCTTCAGTCCTTTTGCTGCTGCAGCCAGAACAGCAGCAGCAGCAGCAAGATCAGCAGCAGCAGCAGCACCAGGGTGGCGGACCGCAACTGCAGTCTGTTAACTCTGCGAAGGATGAGAGCCCAAAGGCCGCAAATGCAGCAACGCAGCTGGAAGCTACAATGAGTACTGCTGCTGCTGCTGTTGCTGCTGCTGCTGCAGTTCCTCCTTCTGCTGCTGTTCCCCCTTCTGCGCGCTATATTGTTTACCAGGCCCTCCCACTTGTTTTTCAGCGCTTTCAGCTGCAGGTGGTGCGGCAAGATATGCTGCTGCTGTTGCTGCCATTGCTGTTGCTGTTGCTGCTGCTGCTGCTGCTACTGCTGCTGCTGCTATTGCTGCTGCTGTGGCGGTGTCCGATGCCCTTGCTGCGTCATCTTTGCTGCTGACGCTACGGCAGGGGGCTAAAGACTGACCCTTCTGCTGCTGCTGCTGGTGATGCTGCTGCTACCACTGATGCTGCTGGTGCTGCTCCTCTTGCTGTTGCTGCTGCTGCTGCTGCTTTAGATTTCTGCGCTCCCACGGCAGTGGAGCAGCAGACCTCCCGAAGTTCTTCCGTTGGCCCCCGAGGACTCACTGACCGACTTGCTGCTACACATCGTCAAGGCATGACCTGCTGCTGCTGCTGCTGCTGCTGCTTTTGCTGCTGCTGCTGCTGCTGCTGCTGCTGCATCACGCCGTAGTCGAGCTGTGGCTGCTGCTGCTTCTGCGTGCTCAAGTACAGGCCATGGCTGACAAGGAGGCGCAAGTTTTCAGCTTTTTTGCTGCTGCTACTGCTATCAGGGCTCGATTTGTTTTTGCTGCTGCTGCTGTTGCTGTTGCTGCTGCTGCTGTTGCTTCCACCGCAGGAACACGAAGAGGTTGAGTTGCTGCCGTCTCTGCAGCAGCTACTGCAGAGAAGCCATAGCGCATCAGCAGCAGCAGCAACGCAGCAGCAACTGGAGGCCACACGCCTTGAGCTGCAGCAGCTGTCTCAAGGCGAAGCCTCCGAGGCTGGCTCAAGCCGTGAGTCTGTTGCTGCTGCTCCCGCCGCTGCTGCTGCTGCTGCTGCTGCTGCCCTCATTGCCGCTGCGGCTGTTTCTGCTGCACCGGCGCGTGCTGCTGTTAACCGTGCAGTCGATGCTGCTACTACCCCTTTTTTGCTTCCGCTGCTGCTGCTGCTGTTGGGGCTTGCCATGTTGCTGCTGCTGCTGTGACGGCTGGTGTACAGCGAGACTCTTACGACGCTAGACTTCATTAAGGTTTAGGGTTTAGGGCTTGTGGTTTAGGGTTTAGGGCTTAGGGTTTAGGGTTTAAGGTTTAGGATTTAGGGTTTGCGGCTGTGGATTAAGGGTGTTGTATGCATGCGCAGCAGCATGCCAGGAAGCCACTATAGAAACAAATGACAGACAAGACAGAGAAGCAGCTGCTGCAGCAACGCCAACAGCAGCAGCAGGAGCAGCAGCACCCAGTGCAGTACCAACTGCAACACCTGCAGCAGCGCTGGCAGCAGCATCTTCAGCTGCTGACACTCCACCAGCATGTAGAGAATGCACCCCGGAAACAATTAGCAGCACCAGCAGCAGCAGCAAGAACAGTCCCGAGCCAGAGGCAGAGGCAGCAACAGCAGCTGCCGCAGCAGCAACAGCAGCAGCAGCAGTAGCAGCAGCAGCGGCACAACAGGAGCTCCAAATTCCTTGCTCTCTCTCAGAAGGCAGCCAGCTATCATCCAATGAGCAACAGCAGCAGCAACAACAGCGGCAACAGCGGCAGCAGCGCACACACGATGAAAGCTTAGAGCAGCAGCAGCGGCAGCAGCAGCAGCGCAAGCAGCAAGAGTGTTTAGGGCAGCAGGAGCAGCAGTGCAGGACCCAGGCTCGATGCGAAGTGTATAGGCTGCGCATTCAGCAGCAGCAGCAGCAACGCCACCAGCAGCAAAGGCTGCAGGGGCAACAGCAGCGGCGTCTTCCTTCTGGTATCGAGCCAAGGAGTAGAAGCAGCAGTTTGAGTGAAAGCAGCAGCAGCAGCAGCAGCAGCAGCAGCAGCAGCACTTTTTGTAGCTCGCTTCTGCCCAATGGAGACAAGCCGTGGTTGCTGCAGCAAGATGAGTTGCAGCAGTGGAGGCCAGAAGTCGTGGCAGCAGCAAGAGCAGCACACATGACAGATTCAGAGCAGCAGCAGCAGCAGCAGCAGCAGCAGCAGTCACTCCAGGAGCAGCAACAATATCAAAGGGGGAGGCGGCTGCACAGCCAGCAACAAAAGCAGCAGCAGCAGCAACAGCAGCAACAGCGGATCCTCCGGCTTCAACAGAAACCCCGTTTGTTGCTTTTGCAGGGACGAGTTCTAGAGGAAGAAGAGTTGCTGCTGCAGCACGAGCGTCTGCTGCAGCAAGAGCGAGAGCAAGCTCTGCTGCAGCGCAAGCAGCAGGAGACCCTGCTTCAGCAGCAGCAGGAGCAGCAAGAAGCGTTGCTGCTGCAAGAAGAGCAGCAGCAGCTGCTATATCAGCAAGAAGCGGAGCTGCTGCTGCAGCAACGCCCGAGAGGCGAAGACCTGGATGGAACTTACTTTTTGCATCAGCAGCAGCAGATGCTGGAGCAACAGCAGCAGCAGAAATTGCTGCAGCAGCCGCATGAGGAGGAGCAGCAGCATGAATATGAGGAGAGTGAGGAAGCTTCTTGGCATAGGCACGCAGCAAGGAGGTGTCAGCAGCAGCAGAAGCAGCAGCAGCAGGACTTCCCACCAGAGTATGCGCTTCGGAGGCAGCAGCAGCTGTTTCTCAGGGCGGAGCAGCAGCAGCAGCAGCAGTATAGCCACCGGCAAGCTGGGATTTATCACAGGGGAGTTGGACTGCAGCGGGAGAAAGATCAGCAGCAGAGCAAGCAGCAGCAACGTGTGCAGCAGCAGCAGCAGCAGTACCGACGCTACTTCACAGAACCACAGGTGCAGCAGCAGCAGCAGCAAGAGCAGCAGCAACACAAAAAGCAGCAGAAGGCGTCCCGCCTCAGAGCTCCAAGCCCCTCTACATGGGATCAGCTGAATCCGCTGCAGCAGGAGCAGATGCAGCAGCAGCAAATGCAGCAGCAGCAGCAGATGCAGCAGCTGCTGCAGCAACAGCGGCAACGGGAATTTCAGGTACGAGCAGAGCAAGAAGAAGTAATGAAACAGCAACAGCAAGAAATGCTGCTGCACGAAGAAGCTGCAGCAGCGCAGCAGCAGTGGCACCAGCATGGGGAGAGGCTGCTGCTAGAAGCAGCAGCAGCAGCTAAGCAAAAGCGGCAGCAGCAGCAGCAGCAGCAAGAAGCACAACTGTTTAGTGACAGTGCTTTCCTGAGGCGGCATCGAGAGGCCTTCGGATACTTCAAACATGGGGTGGAGCAGCAGCAACAGCGGCAGCAGCAACGGCAGCAACAGCAGCAGCAGCAGCAGCACCAAAACTCTATAAGAAAACCGCAGCGCGTCCACAGAAGCGCACACTGCAACAAGTCCAGGCAGCTGCAGCAGCCACGGCTGCACCCCAGCTAGCCACCTGTCTTGAAAAGAGCAGCAGCAGCAACAGCAGCAGCAGCAGCAAGAGCACCCAAGTTACGAGATTGGCAGCTGTGCCTGCAGCACTTCACAGAGCAGCAAGTGCAGCAGCAGCAGCAGCAGCAGTGCAGCTAGCCAAACTAGGCCGCGCTAGCTGGCGGTAGCTAGCCAGCGCCACTGGGGCAGTGCGCCAGCCCAGCCACTGACAGCAGCTAGCTAGCTGCGAGCCGCAGCAGCAGCTTGCTGCGGCTAGTCCGGGCAGCAAGCTAGCCACTGTCTGCTGGGGAGGATGCTGCTGTTGCTGCTGCTGCTGCTGCTTCTGAGGTTACTGAGTGTTGAAGGACGGAAGGCAGCAAGGTCTCTGGAACCGTGCCGCATTGGGAGCAGCAGCAGCAGCAGCAGCAGCAGTTCCAGCAGCAGCAACGGCAGCAACAACAAAAGCAGTGGCAGCAGGAAGGAGCTAAGATGAGGTGCATCTGTGGCCGTCACTCAGCCTCTGTCGCTTGTGCGGCTAGTCCTTAGCTAGCTAGCTAGCTAGCTAGCTAGCTAGCCAGCCCGCTAGCCAGTTATCTATTTCACCTATTGCTAGCTAGCTAGGCGCTTCGCTGCTAGCTAGCTAGCTAGCTAGCTAGCTAGAGAAGTGGGTGCAGGAGAAGGCGAGTTGCGTCATCTGTTCATAACTTGAGCGTCACAGTCTATTCTAATGCGAAATTCGGCTGCTGCTGCTACTGCTGTTGCTGCTGCTGGAGCTGCTGCTCGCGTTTCCACTACTGTTGGTGCTGCTGCTGCTGTGTGTAGGGCTTACTCCTGAGTCTGCGTATCGAAAGTGAGGACGCACAAGATGTTCTTCAAGTCCCTAATTAAAAGATAAACCTAATTAATTAATTAAACGAAGAACATAAAAACTAGACAACAATCCGGAGTGCAGAGTGTGGCTGGAGCTGCCGGGCCGGCTGAGGCTGTGTACGTACACCCGGCCAGTGCGCCCCGCCAAAGGCTTTCTGCGCTGCCTCGCGCATGAGATAAAGGTATTTCAAGTATTTTGAGAGCAGCAGCAGCAGCAGCAGCAAAAGCTGCTGCAGGTGCGTATGGACGGGAGCAGAGGCAGCAGCAGCAGCAGCGGCGGAAGCAGAAGAGAGCAACGCCGACAGCAGCAGCAGCAGCAACACAAAAGGCCGGGATCTTCGGGACTGCTTCAGTTAAAGCGTGTCGGCCAGAGCCTAATTCATAGCCGTTTTATTTCAGTCAAAGACACTTTCCTTTCAGCAGCAGTAGCAGCAAGAACAGCAGCAGCAGCAGGTCACCAACGCCTGGGCTCCAGCGAGCAGCTGCAGCAGCAGCAGCAGCAGCTCGCCTGCTGCAATTAGAAAAAACACTGTTTTCACTTTGTAAATATAATTGTGGTTTAGGGCCTAGGGCCCGGCTCCCCAGACACAGCCAAGTTCAGAAGACACCTGAGGGTCACCAGCAACAGCCCTTGCTGCTGCTCATGCTGCTGCTGCAGCCTCCGCTGCTGCTGCTGCTGCTGCTCCTTGTGCTGCTACTGCGTTGCAGCGTTTAGCATTTATTGACCCACGCATGATGTGCCGTTGCAGGGCGAGCCAGTCGCCCATGAACTGTAGCCTGCAGCAACAGCAGCGCAGCAACGGAGAAGCAGCAGCAGCAACAGCAGCAGCACAAACTAGTGGCACTTTGGCTGGTAGTTCTGAAAATATTTAGCAGCTAGAGTATAAGAGTGGGTCACTGGCTGCGAGGACTGCTGCAGCTGCGAACCGGCTGCTGCAGCAACGCCAGTGGCAACCAGCAGCAGCAGCAGCAGCAGCAACAGTAAACAGCTGCTGCAGCAGCACGCAGACTGTAACTGCAGCGTTTGGCTTCAATGAAATGGCACTGAAAGCAAAGTAGACTTGCTGTTGTGGGTGTTGCTGGTGCTGCCAGTGGTGTTTCTGGTGCTGCTGCTGCTGCTGCGGTGTCCTGAATACTGCTGCTGTCTTTGCTGGTGCTACAGTGACCTTTGCTGCTGCTTCTGCTGCTGCTGCTGCTGCTGTAGCCATGGACAGTGAGGGAGACTTTTCAGAGGCAGCAGGGACACCTTACTTCCGCTCCGCCTCTAGTGCAGTTCCTCACCAAAGCAGCTACACTGAAGACAAGCCTGCTGCTGCTGCTGCTTCTGCTGCTGCTGCTGTTCCCACTTTACGGCATTTGCCAGAAGGGACAGCCGCAGCAGCAGCAGCAGCAGCAGCAAATCCAACAAACCAAGACGCTGCACGCGAGAGCAGCCTCACAAGCTCTGTCGGTGTGCTGCAGCGAATGCAGCCGACTACCTCGCAGACGCGGCTGGCTGCTGCTGCTGCTGCTGCTGCTGCTGCTGCAGCAGCTGCTGCTGCTGATGCTGAGCTGCAGCACAGCTTCACGCAGCTTTCTGAAGGCGAGGTGCGGCCCCTTGCGCTGGGAACTGGGCAGCAGCAAACAGAACCGATGCTGTGGACTGTAGTGACACCCCCCATTTCCGGAAGCAGCAGCTACTTGCCTCAGCAGCAGCAGCAGCAGCAGCAGCAGGAGGCAGACGCGTTGCCGAGGCGCGGTTCAGGCACCCCGGCGCTGCCTTCAGAAGGCTCCCAGAAGCTGCAGCAGCAGCCAGAGCAGCTGCTGATGCAGCAGCTGCAGCAGCAGCTGCACTCGCAAGAAGAGACCTTGCTGCACAAGCTGCAGCAGCAGCAACTGCAGCAACATAAGACGCAGCAGCAGCAGCAACGACTCATGGAACAGCAGCTGCAGTGGAAGCACAAGATAGAGGAACAGCAAGAGAAGCAGCAGCAGCAACAACGACAGATGGAACTGCAGCTTCAGAAGCAGCAAGAGATAGAAGAACAGCAGCTGCAGCAGCTGCAGCAGCTTGAGCAGCAATTGATGCTGGAGAAGCAGAAGCGGGAAGGGCAGCAGCAAGAGCAGCAGCAATGGCAGCAGGCATACGCAACAAAACTTCAGCAGCAGCAGCAGCTGGTGATGGACTCTCAGCAGCAACAGAAAACATGGCAGCTGCAGCAGCAAGAGCAGTTACTGCATTTAACGCGGCAGCAAGAGGAACAGCTGCGGCTGCAGCAGCAGCAGCACGAGCACCTTCTGCAGCAGAAGCTGCAGGAGCAGCTGCAGCAGCAGCACGGCCAACACGAGCAGCAGCTGCACCATTTGCAGCAGCAGCAGGAACAGATAATGAAACAGCAACTGCTGCTAGAGCAGCTGCTGCAGGATGTGGACCGCAATCAACTTCAGCAGCATCAAACAGCGCGGCAACAGCAGCAGCAGCAGCAACAGCAGCGTGAACAGCAGCAGATGAAGTTTCCACAGCAGCAGCCCTCAGAATCTTCTCAAGAGCACGAAAATTCGCCGCTGGACAGCTTTAGCGGTGTCTCTGGCGTTGCTGCTGCAGCGCTGCTGCAGCAGCAGCAGCCACAGGGGCAGCAGCAGCAGCAGCAAGCGCTGCAGCAACAGCAGCAACAATTTTCTTTTTTCAGTCCCCGCCGATCCTTTACATTCCCACTAAGCAACAACACAAACTGGCAGCAGCAAGAGCCCCAAAGGAACTTGACATTTCCGCTATCGCATGCTGCTGCTGCTGCCGTTGCTGCTGCTGCACCTCCTGCTGCAGCTTCTCCTCTCCAGAACGAAGTCTGCTGCTGCGCACCTCCTCCTGCTACTGACACACGAAGTGCACCTGCAGGGGAGGCAGCAGCAGCAACAGCAGGAACCGGAGCAGCAGCAACAGCAGCAGGTGCCCAGGCAGCAATCCAGGAAGCTGAAGCAGGTGCCGCTGCAGAGGCGACAGGCGCAGATATCTTAATGGGACTGCAGCAGCAGCAGCAACAGCAGCAGCAGCAGCAGCAGCTGCCACTGCAGCATACCAGGGAACAAATAGAAGCAAAACTCTCGCAGCGCGAGCTGCAGCAGCAGCAATTGCTGCACCTAACGAAGCTGCCTGAAGCCCATTCGTGCGACTTGCCGCAGCCACAAGATGAGCAGCTGCTGACCCCCCGTGCTGCTGCTGCTGCTCTGCTGCAGCACCGCAGCAACACTTTTGAGACAGGCGTGTTTGCAGCGAAGCGACGCCTTCTGCAGCAGCAGCAGCAGGCCGGTTTGCTGCAGCAGCTGCAGCACCAGTGGGCGCAGGAGGCGGGGGCGCATCAGGGAGAGGAGCTGCTGCTGCAGCACAAAGCAGCAGAGCAGCAAATGATCCTGCAGCAAGAGCAAGCTACAAGGCAGCTCATGCTGCAGCAAGAAGCAATGGAGCAGCAGCTGCAGCTGCGGCAGGCAGAAGCAGAACAACGCCACCTGGAAATTCTGCAGCGGTGCGAATCTTTGCAGCAACAAGCGCTGCAGCAGCAGCAGCAACAACAACAAATGCTGCAGCAAGAGCATGCACTGCAGCAGCAGCAGGCAGGGCCCTACATTGACCAGCAGCAGCTACAGTGGACACAGCGCAGCCACAGCGGCCTGCTGTTGCAGCAGCAGCAAGAAGGAATAGTGCGGCTGGAGGCCGATAGCCAAGCGCAGCAGCAGCAGCAAAAAGAAGTGCTGCTGAACCAACAGCAGCAGCAGCAGCAGCAGTTCCTGCTGCAGCGAGCGGACGGGCAGCTGGTGCAGTTTCCTTTGTGTGACGAGCATGAGCAAATTGCGGCGTCACTGCAGCAGCAGCAAGCGCTGCAGCAGCAGCAGCTGCTACAGCACCACCAAATGCAGGCCCTGCAGCAGCAGCAAGAATGGCAGCAGAAGCAAATGCTGCAGCTACAGCAGCAGCAGCAGCAACAGCGGCGCAGTCCGCTGGTGTCGCCTAGAAAATTTCAGCAGCTTAAACAGCAGCGGCTGCAGCACCGACTGAGACAACGGCTGCAGCAGCGGCAGCAGCAGCAGCAAGAGTCTCTCTTGCAGCAGCAATGGATGATGCTACAGCAGCACCAACAGCAGCTGCAGCAGCAAGGGCAGTTGCAGCAACAGCTCTTGCAGCAGCACCTGGACCTCTGTAAAAGAGACCAACTAGAGATGCAGCAGCAGCTAGCGGCAAAAGAGCAGCAATTGTTGCAGCAGCAAATGCTGCTGCTAAGCCTCCAAGAGCAGCAGCACCCGCACAAGGGGGCCGCTCAAGCGCTGCAGCAGCAACAGCAGCAGCATGAGCAACCGCTGCAACAAAAGGGGAAGCAGAAAGAGACACCGCACGCACAGCAGCAGCAGCAGCAGCAGCAATTTGAGGCGTCTTCCGCTAGCCACAGCAATCTCTACAGCCAAGGCATTCATGCGCAGCAGCAACACGAGACGCAGAAGGAAGAAAAAAGCCAGCAGCAACAGCAGCAGCAGCAGCGGCAGCAGCAGACAGGGCAGCACTTCTCACAAAGGCAGCAGCAAGAGCAGCATGCAAACCAACCACTGCAGCAGCAGCAAGATGACCCAACGAAAGGAACTCTAGAAGGCTACTGCAACAGCGGCAGCAGCTGCTGCCTTTTCACAGGCAGCGACCAGCAGCAGCAGCAGCTGCCGCAGCAAACTCAAAGCGTTTCATCATTGGCGTCGCTGCAGGAAGAAGAATGCAGCAGCCAGCCAGCAGCAAACCAACAGCAGCAGCAGCAGCAGCAAAAGGGCGCGTGGGTCTGCCGCTGTGGGGCCTTGAATGTCAGTTACGCCGCTGAAGCAGACTGCATGACGGAGCAGCAGGGGCTAGCAGCAGCAGCAGCTGCTGCTGCTGCTGCTGAAGCCGCAGCAGCATCATGGCAGCCAGCTCAGGAGCTGCCTAAAGGGCCTGCATGCTGTCTGCTGACTTACCAGCAGCAGCTGCTGCAGCTACAGGCTATGGAATGTGCCCCAGTGGCACCGCTGCAGCAGCTAATGGATGACCACGTGCAGCAGCAGCAGCAGCAGCAGCTGCAGCAGCAACAGATGCTGCAGCAGCAACAACCGCATTTTTATCCCCCTGCAGCAGTGCCTGGCTGGGGATTCGGGTGCCTGCCGCGCAGCAGCAGCAGCCCAAGAACAGTGCTGCCTCAGCAGCAGCTGCTAAATGCGGCACCAGCAACAACTGCAGCAGCAACGGACAGTGCTGCAGCAGCATACAACAGCAGAAGCGCAACGCCTAGACGAGCACACGAGCCAGAGGCAGCAACTGCTGCAGCAACGCCGCGTGCAGTGCCAGCAGCAGCAGCAGCAAATGACCGACCCTGGAGGTGCAGGGGGAACAGCCCCTGCAGCAGCAACTGCAGCAGGCCAGCAGACGAACAGCGGCCGCAGCAGCAGCAGCAGCAGCAACAGCAGCAACAGCAGCAGCAGAAAGGGCTAGAACTAGTAGCAGCAAACTGCCGCGTCGGTTCTCGCGGAGATGCCTTCAGCAGGAGCGGGCCCTGCAGCAGCTGCGCTGTGTGCTGCAGCAGCAGCATCGGCGAGCTTGAACAGCACCTGCAGCTGCAGCTGCAGCAGCAGTACCTGCAGCAGCAGCAACTGCACTTGCAGCAATTGCAGCGACAGCTACGCCAGTGGCCGCAGCAGCAGCAGCAGCTCAATGACGGTGGAGGAGAAATCTACCTCCCGATGCCGCAGCAGCAGCAATGCCGAATGGTGCAGCAGCAGCTGCAGCAGACAATGCAGCAACAGCTACAGCAAAGGATGCATCAGCAACTGCAGCAAGGCAACAAAAGCAAAGACGCGCTGCTGCTGCTGTCAGAGAGGGGCAGCACCCAGCCCACTGCAGCTCCGCCGTCACTGAGAATGTCTGCTGCTGCTGCTGCTGCTGCTGTACTGACACCCGAATGCGCATGCATGCAGCAGCAGCGCCTCGAGGTGCTGCAGCAAGCGGAACTGCAGCAGCAGCACCAGCCCACGACTCCTCGCAGCCCCCCATGGGCACCTCCGCATTTGTGCCAGCAACGCGTGCAGCAGCAGCACCTGCAGCAGCAGCAAGTGCAGCTGCAGCTGCTGGAGCAGCAGCGTCTGTGGCAGCGCAGCCGCTGCTGCTGCCGCATCAGCGGGCCACACAGCAGCAACAGCAACAACTGCTGCAACTGACTGCCGTGCAAGGCCTCTAAAACATAGCTACATTTAAGCCTCTTTGAAAGTAGCACAAGCAGCAGCAGCAGCAGCAGCAGAAGCAGCTGTGTGCTGCAACGGCTGAGCTCTACGCTGGAGTTGGCTCAGTAGGCTTCTCTGTAATAGTGCTGCAGCTATGTTCCATGCTGCTGCTGCTGCTGCAGCTAAGTGCAGACTGTGCAGCAGTAGCAGCAAGCACCGACGCCGTTGCTCTCACTGCTGCCGCTGCTGCTGCTGTGCATCTCAGAGCCCAAAGTCCCTCAGCTAAACGCATGCAGCAGCAGCAGCAGCAGCAGTAGCAGCAGCAAAAACACCGCCAAAAGTAACTCGAGCAAAATGACTGCATTGTCCTGAATGCTCTATGTGGGGCCAAACAAAGACTCATCAGTTTCATCAGGTGCTGCTGCTGCAGCTGCTGCTGCAGCAGCTGCTACCGTACTTGCTGCGTCTGCCGCCGCAGCTGCTGCGGCAGGCTGGCCAGCTGGGGCCGCTGCAGCATCAGGCGCTGCACCGTCTGCTGCTGCATCGTCTGCTGCTGCTGCACCATCTGCTGCTGCTGCTGGAGAAGCAGCAGCAGCAGCGAGCCGCTGCTCTTCATTCACGTGGGGCCGTTTCCTAGAGCGCTCGCCGTCGGAAGCAGCGCCAGGAGTCTCCGGTGCTTCTGCTGCTGCTGCTACTGCGCTCTCAGTAGCGCCAGCTGCTGCTGGGGAAAATGCAGCAGCAGCAACATCTTGCTGCTGCTGCTGCTGCTGGCTTCCTGCATCCGCTGCACTGCTATCCTGAGACATTGCAGTGGAGGGCGTGTGGCCGGGGGCAGCAGGCGGCGTAGCCGCGGCCTCTGCTGCTGCAGCTGCAGCAGCTGCAGCAGCAGCTGCAGCAGCAGCAGCAGCAGCCACAGCAGCCTGCTTGGCGAAGACAACTAGCCGGCCGTCAGCAGATAAAGATGCCACAGTTGCTGCTGTTCGAGAAGCAGCAAGACCCACTATGAAGGCGGAGTGGCTCTGCAGCACTTCAGTGACAGTTTCGAGGCCTTCTAGGGTTTGTTCTGCTGCTCGCACTTCGTAGAAGCCCCAGTTGCTGCTGCTGCTGCTGCCTGCTGCTGCTGCTGCTGCTGTCACTGGCTCCCCGCTGCAGTCCCCTGGCAGGTCTGTTGCGTTGCAGCTAGCCAGCAGCACCGCGCGCTTGGGGCTCAGGTGTACGTACACCATGTCGCAAAGGCTCGCTGCAGCACAAACAGCAGCAGCAGCAGCAGCAGCTTCCTTCGCGAAGCAGCAGCCGCGACCTAGTGCAGCGCAGCAGCAGCAGCAGCAGCAATAGGCTGCACTGCATCAGCTGCAGCAACGCAGGCTTACCGCTTATGGTGCCGCGAGCAAAACGAGAGAGAGTGACACTTTTCAGCCGCAGCTGAGGGTAAACCTGCACTTGCTGCTGCTGCTGCTGCTGCTGCTG